TTCCTTTTGTTAAGGTACGTATTCACCATTTGAATTATGTCATGTTAACATTACATGCCAATAGATTTAATTCTCAAGTGTCAGACACAGTTCTTGTGCATAGAAACAAATAGAACGTCTTTGATTTCACTTTGATGGAGAAATACATGTGGTTATGTCATCCACCTTCACTCTTACTATGAATGGAAATGGCAACTGTTTTATAGAAGATCATTTATTTTAAATACATCTTTGCTGTTGTTAGTAACCAAAGAAACAAAATTGCTGCATTAAGTATTATTTAAATGAAATTAAAATATAATACCCATTTAGTTTCTATTGCTTTTTGTACAAGTGAGACCACAACAAAAGTCAAATCAAGTTGGATAATCTGAAACAACAGTGCAGAGAGTGACTAATAAGGCAGAAAAGATCCTATTTTGGATTTAGGAGAACAAATGGTCAATGGTGAAAAGTGCACTATGGGGACACAGAGCTGCTCCTTGAAAACAATTATGACACTATAACTGTATTACTAAATACCAAAGGCCTGACTATTTTTTCTTTTGAAAACAAGATATATTTATAGAACGGACCACTCCTTATGTTTTCATTTGTTGAACCTTTCACCAATAGAGCAAAAACAATTCAAACACATTGGTCTTGTTTGTGTGTGAACGAGCTCAAGGCAATCCAAGCCCAAAAGACTTGTTTTTCCACACATGGAGGCAGATGGAACTAAATGCACGATGGGGTTGCGTTATTTCAGAGCAAGCATTATGTAATAGCAAACACATCACGATTTCAAAACAAAACACACCCAGCTCTTGGCAAATCAAGTCTCAGGATTGAATAATCCTGGAAACCTGGAATGATACCCACCCATGGAAAGTATGTTCCCTCATTATTGACAGTCTAACAAAACAGGTATAAACAAACATGTTGGCACTGTACAGGTTTGGTCACTCTGGATGGGAGTGTAGTATCATGGATGCTGAATCTGGTTCTACAGCAAATATTGAAGGCTCGACTCCATGCCAATTTAACAGTTCCAAGTACATTATTTTAAGTTGAATTGCCGACAACTAAGGGAGGGAAGAAAACAAAGCTTTTGAAGATCAATCACACAATAGCACCACGGGTGGTACAGTCTCAAAATCAGCCAGCTTTGTTTACTTCTGAGGCGCAGGCGTCCCTGTTCTGTCTCTAAATAGTAAAACACAATCTGGTTTTGTGTGCCAAAGTGCCAAATAGGATGTAAACTCATACATAACCAGAGGTGCTTGTGAAGTTACCCTTCAGGGTGCTGACTTTCATCTATTTTCCAAATGTAGGAAAAACAAATACCTGAAACCATTAAAATGTTTTTGTCGCAACATATAAAGGTGCAGATTTATTCCTGTTTTTTCAGACATTTTGGATCAACAGTTGCAGTGCTGTCCGAAGATGATATTTTATAAATATCTTGTAGTTCTGTAGACGTTTCCTTCCACCTGTTTCCCCACAGATCTCAGTGGACACAGCACATTCCTAACATGCTTCACCCTGCAGTGATCCTGGCATCAACACAGCATCCATCACTACCTCAGAACCAAGTTCAAGAGACAGGCCCTCTCACTCAACTCAAGCTTCAACAAACAGACATTATTATTCGTCTGAAATCTATCAAGAATGTGGTATGTGGGCTGTTTGGTATTTCCCCACCTCTAGGGTCCGTGAAGTAGGAATAATCTCTCCATTTATGATAGTATGTAGAAAAGGAGACCCATTTTATCCATTTCGGTGTGCTTTAACATAATTATAGTGTTAATCTGGGAATATATCCACAAATGGGGAAGCAGGCCTCTTTCATAGAAACATATTGATTGCCTTGCCCAATAACAGTTACAATGAAATTCAACTAGTATTGCACCTGGACCAAGTGTAATACATAGTTGAATTTAATTTTAACTGTGCAGCAGCCCTCTACTTGCTACAAACTTAAATATGAAAAGGTTCAACTACGCACACACACATCATGTCGGCTCGCGCAGCACGCTCACAGGCATAGATTGCGCAATAATGTATTGCACACCTTGGAGGTGCAGTGCAGGCATATTATCCTTCAAGAGATACGTAGTTCTTTTATATTATATTTACCTCGTTAACGTAAATAATACTCATTACATGGTACCACTTTACAATAAGACTAACCTTATTAAGGATTCATAAAGGGCTTATAATTAGGTTATTAATTAGGTTGTAAACACTTTATTAATCATTAATAAGAACCATTTATAAACCAGTTCTAACATCGTTTTCAGGCTCACTATTTGGCAAGATGACTAAGACTTATATTGGCTACGTAGCTTACTTCGTGTTCTTCATCAGCCAGCATCCATATCTGTTGTTCACTGAGTTGATTCCCCCCCTTCCATCTTGATGTTTCTTGGCATCTCTTATGACCATTTATTTACGAGTTACTAACATTTATAGTTGCCAAAAGGGAGCCTTATTGTAGAGTGTAAAACACATTCCCATTTATTAATGAGTTACAACCATTTCTAATAAGGCTTATCAGTTCAGATAAATGTGGGCTCACTATTTGGCAAGCAACCGGTCACAGTTGCCCTATTTATCTCATGTCTTATAAAAGCTTATTAAAGATTTATAAAGTGTTCACAACCTGATTAATAAATGAATTACAAACTATTCGTAAACCCTTTATAAGAGTAGTCTTATTGTAAAGTGGTATCCATTACATTGACACATGCATTATTTGTGATTAAAATGATGGTTGTTGGTACTGTATTAGCGACCCCCACAGATGTATGATTTCAATGCTTTCATAGGAGCTCAGACCCCTCCTTATGGGAGCTCAGCTCTTGGCTCTCAAACCCTGCACTTGGTAGTCTAGATTAGGAATTAAAAAAAGCATTGCTATTATAGAGCTGCTTCTCAGTGTTTCTGTTTCAATCATGTTACGATTATTGTGTTATGTCACGTTTTCTATGTCTTGTTTTGGGTGTTTTGCTGTTCTCCCTGTCATGTTTTCCTCTTGGTATATTGTCTGGTCCTTTTCCCTGTGTTTTTCCTCCTGTCGTTAGTTTCCCTGGTGTGTCTAGTTATCTGATTGTGTTCACCTGTGGCCCTTGTGTTTCTCCTCCCCTGCCCGGCTGTTTCTCGTCTTGTGATTACCCCTCCCTGTATTTAGTCTTGTCTCTTCCTGTGTTCAGGGTTGGTTCGTCGTTTGTCTGTGACTGTGTTCACCGGGGAGTGTTCTGATTTTCCATATGCCATATCCTTGAAATAAAGGTATTTTCAGTTTTTTCTGCATTTGGGTCCTGCCTGCTTCACTCACCGTAACAAATCACTTCACTGGCATTATTGCACTTTTATTATCAGTTAGGTTTTGTGCATGGTGACGTACAGATATAATTCCAGATTTTCTACAGGGAAAGCTGAAGTCTACCATGTAAAGTAGAGGCCTGAACTACTGTATTTACCTAGGTTAGTATGAACATAACAACCACATTAAGGTTTTAGTATGTCCACAAATGGGAATATGTCCCACTTGTATTCACATGAAGCAAACTGAGCTGATGAAAACAATACTGCGCCGATAGATAAGAGGACAAACAAAACAAAAGTTGTGGCCGCAGCAGGACAGAAAATGACAGGATAGAACACTGTACAGTAAAGATGGGGCAGTTTGAATGTTTGATACCAACATAACATCCACACATCTGAGGATATAAGGGATACTTCAACATCCAAACACCTTTTTAAAGCAGAACGTGTAAGTGCTCCAGTAGGCAATGCAGCATGTACAATATGAAGACCTTTAACAAGCTGTAATTAATGGTGATGCACCTGTGCTTTTCCACAGCAATTTGTCATTTGCAACCAGTATTTGAGATGGGAAAAGACAAAGCTGTAATCAGTCTGATGCGTACACAGGCAATGTGAGTTAAGGAGGGTACAGGTCACAGTCATTGTCAATTACTTTGAAGTCACAATGATAATAACTATAGAAGCTTAAGTTACTTCCTGCAGGTGGTGCTGATGAACTCACAGCAAAACACTTCTGTGGAAATCAGGCAGAGATAACAAACCTCAAATTCCAGAGTGCACCGCCCTGCAGACTAAACAGAAACATGATCCTTCGCTGTTATCTGTTCATACACTCCCTCAAACATGGGAATGTTAGCAGTAATAATAATCATCCAATGTTTTTCTGCTTCGATCATTATCTTTAAAAAGTCAGTGTGCAGTTTGTGTCCTCGCACACTGTTAACAAAGTCATTCAACTTTGTTTTGTTACTAAGAGCTGTGAGTGGTTAATATGCATGTGTCTTTCCCCATGGCTACACAGAAATGATTAAATGTGCATTAAGGGATAATTTGATCAATTATTTTGGAGTAATCAACACAACACTGACTAACCATCAAGTTTTAAGATGAATCACATTCTTAAATAGACTTTGGTGTGCTGTATTGCACATCCACTTGTATCTGTTTCTGGGAACTGATTTTTAGTTTTGAAACTAATTAAGCTTCCGTAGAAATCCACCGACACACGGGGGAGGAATGTTCTGTGTAATCTTTCACTTTAGTGGGCAACACGCCAGTGTCACATGACTCCTGTTAAAAGGGAATGTATTAACAATCAAAAACTATGAGGAAGTACAACGCAATCAATGGAGTAACTAGCTGAATAACATTCTGTAATTATTAAAAGGACAATAAACCCACATCCATTTAACATTAATAGTTTAACTTTTATTGTGGCTAACTTGATATTCAATAGAAACATTTTCTATTATTTGAAGTACAGTCACAGTGTGAATTTGTTCCCAGTCAACATTGACAGTATGTACCAACATTTCAAATGACAGCTTTATGCTCTCCTAATAAGTCTCAATGAAAGGATCGGGGAAACTTTACTTTACAACAAAACGTAATACAGTTATTATTGCTCCCACTGATTGTTCAAACTGTAAACAAGATAAATCAAGTCAGGACTCAAAAATCTACAAATGTTAAATACAAACATTTTATAAAAATCATTCGGATAACATACAAAATTATTTTCAACAATTTGAAGGCATCGTAATGAAATGATGAGCGTATATTTCAGCAACTTGCTGTATGGAAATGCATAGAAATTGTGCAGCTTCTACAAAAACACAAAGTTTTTATCGGACAGAAAGATATTTTGGCCATTATTTTTGCTTGAAAAAAGTGGAAAAACTATTATTTTATTTTATGAGATATTCTTACAAAGGAGCCCTCTGTACTTAAAGTTATAATCATAAAAGAAAACATCTGTTGCAGCTCTATCATTAAACTGCTTTACAGTGTTACAGTATAAAAGAAAGGACACAACTATTCAAAACCATTTGAACAACAAGAGCTTTTGATCACATTTATAGTATTTAAAGTCTGGATGGTGGAATAAACAAAGAAGTGACATATTCAAAACAAAGTGTGAAATTATATTTTGTTCTATATAAACAAACTCAGGATTTCATTTAATACAAATATTTCTCAGTACTAAACCATTAGATTTGGTCAGGAAAATAAACCAGCGTGAGAATAAATATATAATTATATTTCTTTTAGTTTTTCTTTCAACAACGTGGCGATCATGTGTTTAGTGTTTGGTCAATATGTGTGTACGCTGGGCACAGACTGTGTGTGTTCAGAGATGATGAGAGTACTTTTGATTGTTCATTCAAAGCCAGACTTCGTACAGTAAGTGCTTGACCCAGAATCTAAACCCTGAAATGGTTTGACATACTGAATTTGTATTTAAAAATGCAAGAGGTATTTGCTTGTTTTAAAAAAAAGAATTCTCTACTTGCAATCCAGGCGATTAATTTGTTCGATTTATGTATCCTTGAGTTGTACAGGGAGTACAGTGTACATTGTAGACTGAAGGAAATACTCTGAAATGCAGAGGATGTTGAGTTTCCTCCCATTCACTCTGGTGTGGAAAATGAGTCCCCTACTAACCTCTAAAATGTAATGTAAGTACCAGGCAGCCCTCCCTCTTTGTCTGTAGTGTTTGCCATTCTGCCTTTTTAACGTCTACAAAGCAGCTAACCTCCACTTTTTTCCTCATCAGTGCTACATTTTCCCACCCTCACCCTGTCCCTGAAGTGGTGTTTTAGCAGGAGCTGGTCTGGAGGTTTCCCTCAGTGAGGATGGAGGTGATGGAGGAGCGGTCGTACAGGCTGTCGTCGTCGTCTGAACTGAGAGCCGATGAATCCAAAGCGGGGCGCATTGCTGCCTGAGCCTTCCTCCTGTGACACATAATAATAATTAATGTTATCAATGTCATCATTAACTGTTGAAAACCATTTTATTTATCAGTTGCTGTATTCACAAATCCTGGTTTATATTGTTTTCCTGCTTTACATTATGTCTCAAGCCTTTCAATAGTGTTTTATTGTCAAATGTTCTACTCTATATTTTCTACTTTCTACTGCTGTTTTAATTCTATTTTGAGATGTTTAAATTCTAGTATTGTTCATTTCTACTCTTTCATTTCTACTTGTGTGCCATTCCTTGTTTTGTTATATGGTTTTGTATGCTGCTGCAACACAAACAATCCCAATTTGGAATCAATAAAGTACCTCTTGTCTTATCTAATTAGCCCCAGTGGGAGATTTGATGGTACCAAGATTGAAAAAAGAAAAAGTAAATAAATGTAATATGCAGGAACATGGTCACGTTTATTAAGTACCGCTCATCTTATCTGATCTGATCTCTTAATGCTGCCAGGTGACCATATTGCTCCCTCTGCTGGCCATACAAGGGAACAACATCTTCTTGTTGCCAGAGAGCACGTCTGAAATGTGATTTCCCCCGAGCTACATGAGTAATGTGCCTTTTAGTTTAATGAAATACCTTTCACACGTGGGTGATTGCTGATTTGTTTTACACTCATCACATTGTGAAATACAGCCCTCAGGCAGGCAGAGTGAATTTATACCAGGTGAGGTAATTGTGTGTAACAGACCATGAATCTGGCTTTGCTGGTAATAACGTCATTTCCATGCAGTTTTATTGATTCTATGACATAAGGAGGAGGAGATTATGTACTTCCCCCTTCCTCCCTCACATGTTGCTGTGATAATCTGTCTACCAGGAAGTCTCTTGCATAAGCGCACAGTGAGCAAATTGGATGAGAGACACAATTGGATTCAAAGCAAAGGAAACGCTTACTTGAGCTCAGTTTCCAGGGCTGTGACTCTGGTCTGCAGCGCCTCTTTGAGCTCCATCTGCTCCTCCATGTCTCTCTGGGCCTTCCTCCTCAGCCCGTCTATCCTCTCCAGCTCCGTCTCTCCTTCGTCCACCTGCCTCTTCAGAGCTTTCACTCTCAGAGCCAGCTGCAACACAACACAAGGCGGTGTAGTTTAACTGCGTATGCTTTTGGTGTTGTTGCATTCCTGTGTGTCAGGAGTAAACACACTGACACACAGCAGCAGGAGGTGCATGTGTTTACCTGGTCTCTCTGTTCAGTGTGTGTTTGTTTATCCTCGTCCAGCGTCATGTTCAGATCTTTCAGTTTCCGCTCCAGACGCCGCTGAGACGCCACAACAGAGTTCTTCTCCCTTTACACATATAGAGGAACAAAGCATAGCACTTGTAAGCATGCAACTATGAGTGCAAAAGTAATAATACTCATTATACAGAATAGCCCATTTCAGAATAATATGTATAAATCATATACATTCATTATAAATAGTGGTGCCTTAATGTGTAAGCATCCCTAATGTTGCAGAGGGTAAAGGCAGAGCTATTGTTATAGCTTTTATACACTGCTGGGTATCTTAATCCATATTATAGCCTATATCATAATGTATTAGCTCATTTAAAGTTTGTATTAATACTCTGATCCTACAGAGTAACTACTTTCTAATGTTGTCAAAAATAAATACAATATTGGCCATCCAAAATGTAAGCAGCATAAAAAGGAAATACTCAAGTACTTTAGAATTATACTTCAGTACAGTACTTGAGTAAATGTACTTAGTTACAGTCCTTAGTGACATGTAGAGAATCTAAACTTGGATAATCTCCAAATGAAAATCCACTATCACTCCACCAAACTGTGTCTTCAAAACTGTTACAGGATAAGTATTTTGTAAATTGTGTATTTTATAAATGTGTTCATCTTTAATATGTTGTATGCATGCTTCTTAGTTAATATTAAGCTGTCTTTGGCTCTTTTCTGCTGTAACAAATGTAAATGTCCCCTTTGTGAGACGAATAAAGGTATTCTGATTCTGATCTACTAAATGACAGTAGAATGTATTAAAAAAGATATTTGAGATATTTAGTTTTATAACAAAAAAAGGGTAAAACACGATCCTGATCCAGAACAGACATCTACGGACTGCAGCATGGATCTGTATGTTGCACTGTACCTCTCCTCAGCCCTCTGCTGCTCCTCCAGCTCCTGGATCTTGCTCTCCAGCTGAGAGACTCCTGCTGAGGAGCGAGACTGGCCCTCCATGTCCGCCACACGACTCCTCAGCTCCTTCAGCTGCAGGCACAGACACAAAGCAAGTCATCAGGAGACACAATACTCTCACCTAAGAAGACCTCTTACGGATGAGCACTAACGCAGCAAACACCGATATTGTGCATGTGTTACTTACGTGTCTCTCCATGGTGTTCTTGTCCAGCTCCAGGTCCTGCTTGGAGGATCTCTCCTGCATGAGCTCTGAGCGCAGCTGATCGATCTGATCTCTGCTCCGGGCCACTCGGTCCGTCATCATCTCCGCGCTGCTCCTCTCCTCCTCCAGCTCCAGCTCCACACGCTTCAGCTTGTCCTGACGAGACAAGAAGATATCAGCTTAATGAGATTACCCAGATTAGCCCCAGTGGGAGATTTGATGGTGCCAAGAATGAACATCTGTGTAAATAAATGTAATATGCAGGAACAGAAATATTCAGACGTGTATACTGACATTGTGTGAAGAGCAGATATATTAACAGCATCGAGTTATTGATTCTTTTCCTAAATAGTTTATTCTGACAAACTATCGCGGCAAACTGATAATAATAATTATAATAAACGTTATTTATATAGCACCTTTCATGCTTGACAACATGCTTTACAGAGTATGACAGAAAATGACAATAATAAGTGAGGAACATAATTAACAACAAGAAAAGAAAGAGTTATATCACTGAACCATAAAACATGAACAATGATACTAAAAAATTACAATTGCCCCAAATTATAAGCCAAATTAAAAAGATACACCTTTAATTTACTTTTAAAAGTTCCAATTGAGGTTCTGCTCTAAGAAGCACATATCTTACTTCCATGATTCGATTCTCCCGGATTTTCTCATTTTGGGCGTTTTTGCCGGCCTCCATCTCTCCCTCGAGGTGGCGCAGTCTGTTGCTCAGAAGCTCTTTATCCAGCTGGTGGTTGTCTCTCTCCTCACATGTGAGAAGAAGCTCCTTCTTCTGTCGTGAAATCTAGTTTAACAGAATATCAGAAACAGTAATGCCAGACTGAATCACCATAATGAAATAAGTATGGTTGTGTTTTGGTAACACGGGGTGTTCAGGTAACACTTAAAGACTTTGTTATGGAACGCAAAGCAGAGTAGGGGGCTAGTACACCCTCCTGAGGGTCCGATTGTGGATGTCATGCGAGCATAACATGGTGAAAACAATCAGTCTAAATGAACAATCGGGACGGAAATGTTCGGATTTCCAAAGGGAGGTTCTGAGAATAAATTAAAAATCAAGAACCGAAATAATTGAACTATTCATATCTTAGACTGCACTGTAACTTCTATCTTTTAATGTTTATTTTATTAGCTTTTCTTTTTAATGACTGTTTTTAAATGCCTTTGTCTGAATGTCTTTCATTTTTGTAAAGCACCTTGAATTGCCTGGTGCTGAAAGGTGCTATATAAATAAACTTGCCTTGCCTATGGTTGGTTTTACAGGTTTATATCAAGTGGATAGCACCAGTGAAGCACGCACCAAGAATATTATGCGTCAAAACTATTGAAACATTCAGAGCAGACATTCATAATAAAAACAGCAACCAGGCCAGGCGAACAAGTGACGACACACAAACCTCTTCCTCCAGTCTCCTCAGATGTATTTGACTTCTTTCCAGTTCACTCTGAGCATCTTTCCCGTGACGTTGCGTCTCCTGCACCTCCTTGCGTGCCTTCTCTCTCTGCTCCTCCAGCTGAACCCGGAGTATCTGCGCCTCCTCTTTTGAGGACACTGTGAGCGTCTCATACTGACAGACAGGTGAGGAGGGAGAGGAGGAAAAGACAAAGAAGGTGAATGATTTGTTCTGTGAATCCTCTCTGTTAGATGCTCCATGCAGAAGATGTTTTCATTTCCTCCTCACCTCTCTGTTGAGTTTCTCCAGAGCTCTTTCCTGCTGTCGTTTGGTCTCTTCCAGCTGGCTGAAGGTCTGTTTCAGTGTCTCCTTGTCTTTCTCCGTGTCTTCCACATGAAGGACGAGTTCTCGGGTCTCCTGGCTCAGTCTGGATGATTTTCTGTTGGCCTCATCTAGCTCAGACCTCAACCCTCTCACCTCAGAGTGCAGGGCGATCTCTGCCTCTGAGCTCTCTGAGGCGTTGTTCTGCAGCTGAGCCTGAGGAAACCACAGAGGGAACCACAGACGCTTCAATATCTCTCAGGGTTTCTAACACACTGTTTTGTATGAGGGAATGCGACCTGTGGAGGACATTCTTAAGAGAAACTGATAAATGGTTCATGGACAAAGTTTGTCTTTTGTTATATTTAATAAAGTAATAAAGAAAGTCAATATACAATCAAAATCAATCTCAAATGCAGGAACAGAGCAACTTCACCCTCAGAGGATAAAGACTTTCTGCACCCCGAACACAGCTTACAGTCCCACTATATATTCATGAAAGGAAACTGGTCCTACATCCCATCATCAAACCATAAAACCCCCTTGTCCTTAACCATTTGCCAATCCACTTTTTACACTTCCTCTTGCCCTCCTGAAATGTAAATCCTAAACACATGTCTCTGTTAAACATATACAAGACTACAAATACATTTTAACAGAGTATAAGACTATATGTTTTAAATGATTATATGATCATTTGACACGACATGACCTACCTCCAACCGTGAGAGTTTCTCTTTGAGACGCGTGTTGGCCTCCTCCTGCTCCAGCTGAGCATCTCCGAGCGATTTGACCTCCGCCTGAGCTCTAGTGAGACGAGTTTTACTGGCCTCCACCTCCTCCTCGGCTGATGAGAGCTTCTCTTTGAGCTGGCTGGCTTCCCCACGAGTCTCACTGAGGTTCTGCTCCAGGTCTGAGATGACTGCTGGGTCTGGGAGCTATATGTGGTGAAGACAATAATAATAATAAAGCTATGTTTATACAGCACGTGCAGCTCAAAGTGCACACATCACCAGTTAAAAATAAACAACAAGAGATTCCCCTCAGATTAGATGTTAAGAACTTTACAGGTACATGCAGCAAAATATAACATTGTAACAGGTTAAGAGACACAAGCAGGTAAAAGGTATGATAAGAAAAATAAAATAAAATAAATAATGATTTATCTCCGAAAGATAAGACACAAGACAACTGAGTCGATGCAACAATATAAAACCCCGTAAAACAAAGTGAACATATAGGTTACAACAGAAATACAAATGTCATCATTCTAATTAAGTTAAATGATTAAAATTAAAAAAAATGTTGCTATTGAAACGGTTGAATAAATAATATAAGATAAAACCCCTTAAGACCTATAAAAAAGGGAATGATAGACAACAAATGTAATGGAGAGACGATGGGGATTAAAGTAGAGAATTAACAGTTGAAGAATTAAACACATATCTAACCACTCTCAAAACTACCACAATCACCATCTTTCTTGTGCTAGCCAGTTTAGTTGTTGCATTGTTCATTGATATAACCTCTCTAGGTTTAACTGACCTTTTTGTTTTTCTCCTGTGCCTTGGCGACATCCTCTCTGGCTTTCTGTAATTGGTCCTTCAGCCTGTCAATCTCGTACTTCAGTTCTGCCTCCTGTCCCTGGTGAGACTTTTTTATTGAGATGACCTCCATGACCTTCTTGTCATGCGCCGTCCTCTGCTTCTCCACCTCAGACTTAGCCTTCTGTAGATCGTCCTTGTGTCGCTGAAGTTCCTGAACAGAAACAGGGGGGGTTTGGTGGTTAAACAGATTCACCTTTGTTACGCAGATCAGTTGTCACACATCACGGGAGGCAGAGTGTGTGTTCACCTGGCTGAGAGTCTGTGTGTGGCCAGTGTCTGGTTTCTGCGGTTTCATGGTGCTCACTTTGTCCTGGACCTCCTTCAGTTCCTCCTCAAACTCTTCTTTTTCCAGACGGATTTGCAGGAGCCTGAAAACGCAATTTAAATACCGTTGATCCAAAGAAACTGTACTGTATGAAAGTAAAGTACTGCCTGATTATTTGGCTTGTTTAGGTGATTCATGAGTTTAATTTACTCTGATGTACTCAACAAACACATTTTTAAATGTTCAAGCAACAGCAAATCAGAATTTCCTGTTAACACAACAGTCAGACAAATTCACAGAAAACAATTGCGGGGGCAACATTGACAAAAGAGGAGAGATGGACACACATTAGCAGTACAGCAAGAGAACCATGAAAAGACGTTGGCTACATCCATGAAAGCACTGGAAAGCTTGAACCCAGGCAGGAAATATTAGTTGATGGTGACGGTCAGAATGAACTCACTCTTGTTTGGTTGTTCGCAGTTCGTCTCTGGTGGCGTGGAACTGCTCCATCCAGTGGCTGCTCTCGTCTCTGCAATCTTCCAGCTGCTGCTGCAGGGAGCGGATCGACACATTCACTCGCAGCCGCTCCGACTCGATCCCTGCATGGGACTAAAATAGGAGACAGAAGAATTGAGGGCATGGTCGTTTATATCGAGACTATTTCATAGTCAGAAACACTTATACATATATAGTCTACTATAGTAGACTCCGCACTGTTTTAACTGAACAGATCAAGCTGAGCACGCACTCTGCAGCAGAGCGAGCAGCTTCTCCTCGGCTGAACCTCCTGTGTCTCTGTCCTCAGCCTGTTACCAGGGGAGTTTCCTCACAGTAGACAGATATGTAGTCCAGATTAAATTATTCTCATTAATGTTTATGTACAAACAGGTGATTGTAATGTGGGTGCTATAAAGAATTAAAGCTATAAAATAAGAGCAAGTTTGGTGAGATACAAAAGCAAAATGCAGCATGTTATTATGTAAAATAATTTCAAAAACCTGATGTTAATATAGTGATGAAACATATAAGTAACTTCCTGCTTTGTTTGGACCAGCGGGAGATTCGGGTACACAACCTGTAAGTATTCATTGTTGTTTGTGTATTAATGATGTTTAAAACAAACAAGGTATCTACCACGACTGTTTAAATGGGTAAACGTTTTTCGGACTGCTACGTTGGGATCGCGGAGAAATGCTCTCCGCAGACCCATTCTCACTTTCACAGCGTTATAAACCTTTTTCTTACTCAATATCAAGCCACACTTATTGTTTTTACTTCGGCTGTGAGTGTTTGTGTGTGCTCAGGATGAGTTTCGCTTGTTCTCGCTGTATCTATCTCCGACACGGAAGCCCTGTCTGCTCCTCACAGCAGCTCCTCACGAGCAGCTGCACGTTGCTTGACCAATCAGAGCACACTGGGCTCACAGGGAGGGGGGGGGGGGGGCGAGCTCCAACAAGCCGTTTAGGACAGAGAGTGAATACCGGTGAATGCACATACTTTACAGAGATGCTGTATGAGAAACCAATGTGAGTTTGGAAAATTGCACAATATAAATCTATTCTAGTAGACCTCAACAATGGAATTATGATCAGTAGAAATGGCCATGACATGGGACCTTTAAGTAAGTTGAAAGGAGTCACAAAGCAACATGTAAAGGTCGGGCCTCAGAGTTTGGCATATGGAGTCTGTTGTTGAGGGACTGATTAACACATTTTCATGTTTAATAAAAGTATGTGCTGGCTTCTGTGTCTGTGCACCCACCTGAGACACCTGCTCCATGCTGCTGCGGAGCTTCTCCATGTCGGTGCTGTACTGCTCTCGCAGCACCTCCACCTCTTTGTCATGTGACGCCACCTCTTCCTTCAGAGCTCCTTTGAGAGCCGTGAGCTCCCTCTCTCTCTGTCTCAGCACCTCCTCCAGCTTCTGTTTCAGCTGACACACCTCCATCAGCTGCGTCTGACTTGACATCAGATCCTACACATGCAGGGAACACAGTATGAGGCATGATCTTTTACATAACAGTACATTATAATCCCTCTGCATGATGATTGTATAGCTTTACTAATTCAAAGTAAATGTTTCTAGACTTAAAGTTCATCCTTTCAATTTTACATGTCAATATGATGCCCGTGCACGGTCTTGAGAATCAATTGAGTCTGGATTTGAGTCTTGGGTTACAGTAGTTCCCATAATGGGGTCTTCCAGTATATCTGTGTGGGTTTATTTGTGTAAATATGTTTATTTGATACCGTCTTGCTGCCACCCTCCCTTCGCAGTTCATCCTGAAGCTCAGCCAGCTGGTCCTCCATGTCTCTGGCCCGAGCCTCTGCGTTCTCTCTGTCCATACGCAGCTGAGTCAGCCTGCCATGAGAAGAGAACACACACACTACTGAATGACTCTTTGACTCCAAAATGACTCGAGCATACGTGTTGATCTTGAGTACAAGTTACAGCGACTGCTTGCTTCATGAAATTGTGAGGAGTGTGTGCTTGAAAACAAAGAAGGCTTGTCATGCACCCCTCACAGACAATATACCATGCCTCTTCTGCTTTCCTGTGTGTGTGTGTGTGTGTGTGTGTGTGTGTGTGTGTGTGTGTGTGTGTGTGTGGGCTCTGTCCTCACTCTGATTGGGTTTCGTTTAATTCTTTCTTCTTCCGGTCGAGCATCTCCTGCAGTGCCAGATTTTCATCCAGACAGGACTCCAGCTCAGCTTTCAGAGCAGGATCAGAGTTGCAGATAGAGTCCTACACACAAGCAGACATGATGAATAAATGAGCAGTGAAACACGAGACGCCAGGCAGCTCTGGTGCGCTTTAAAAAGGTAATGTTAAAGCAAGCTTGCATTTGCCCACGATCAATATGCATACGGGATTAAGTTCTTAGGAGCTATTAGGGATTAAGAGCTGCCCACCTTCCTTAAACCAGCATATAATGAGTCATTATTGAAGTTAGATTATTGTGTGACCAGGCCAGAGAGCTTTAAGGATTAATGTGAGGATTAATCTGAAGCACACTCCAAGAACTCCCAGCCTACATAGTAAGATTAGCTAAAGACATAAAAGCTCTGAGGACAGCTTCCTCTTCTCAACAAACAAGCATGTATCTTCTTAATGTGATAGCCCTTGTTTAAAGAAGACTTTGATAAGCGTTCATGCATGTCATTTAATCAGGGCTGAAGGTGGCAGGTTACTCTGTGAATGGCGTTTCCAATCAGTCAAGTGGATTTAGGGATGTTTGGTGGGTCACCCTAGATGTTAAAGGTGGGGTAGGTAAGTTTCAGAAACCGGCTCGAGATACACTTTTTGTTATATTCCATGGAATGCTCTTAACATCCCGATAGCAATGAATATCTGAAGTGCTTTGACAAAAAATCCATTAAAAAATGTCATCTGTGGAAGCCGTAGTAAAAAGCACGACCAGTCATTTTAGCCGGCTTGGCTAAACGGATTGGATTGCCGCCCTGTCTGTCAGTACTTCAATGACTCGCCAGCAACAGGCGGCCACTTTCACCATGGCAGAGTTAGGTTCAACATCGTCTACTGGTCGCAAAAGAAAAAATGTAACGGAGCAAATTAAGAACAAAAAGAAAGTGGAAACTAGGAGAAGTCAAACCAGAGTTAATATCGGAGTTGTGCGCGTTCATGTGTGTTGGAGGAGGTGCTCTGTAAGGAAGTCTGAAGGAAGGGGCGGATTCTTTTCGGCTGTGTACTTTCAAATGTTAGTGCACTCGAGCTGGTTTCTGAAACTTACCTACCCCACCTTTAAATCTACAGTAACAACCCAAATATCTAACCAGTCTCTGTATCTAACACACATTCTTTACATCCCCTTACATTTCAGAACGTCTTATAATATTGAAAGTATTGAAACAGTTATAAAATACATAAAGGAAAATGGCATACCCTTCTTTCCGCCTGCAGGGCAGATTGTAGTTCAGCAATCTTTCTTTCAAGCTCGCTCTTTTCTCTCATCCACTCTTCCTGGTGTCTTCCTCCAATAGGCTGCTGAAATAAAAAAGATGTATAGATGAATGGGGATATACATGTAAGCAGATTGCTGATACTATCCATTACCGATTATCATAACTGATGAATGAACATCCTAAATTAGATTTATTTTTAAAAGGACAAACCTTTAGATTCTGAATCTTCTGAAAGATGACCTTGACTTTGTGCTTGATGACAACATCACTCTCGCTGGTCCTGAGTGAAGGTAAAAATGGACAAATTAATATAAATGTTGTTTATTACCTTTGCATTAACTAAATAAAACATCCATGTGTCGAGTGAGGTCAACAAAAATGGAAAAAGACAACAATAGATGTTGAGTACAGAAAAAACGACATAACCATAAACAATCCATATGCCAGGATAACCTGCAGGTCCATACCCTTGTCTCAGGATGTTGTATATAGTCTGCATGATCTGCTCCTCCTCACCGGTCTCTGCACTCTGACCCTGGTCCAGCAAAAGGTCAGGGGTCACCTTGAGACATAGATCAGAAAACTACTCTTGCAATGTTGCATGCTATGTGGCGTTTGGAAGTCACTTAAAACCAGCTGTGATGACAAACCATTACATATGTTATTCTTACGTGTGCCTCAGAGATGGGCTGCGGGGTCCACTGGTCAGCTGAGGGTCCCGGGAGGGTGGAGGCCTGGTTGCGTCCCGGGCTGCTGTTAGATGAGGACGAGGGGGAGGTGTAGGGGTTGGGGGTGAGGAGAGGAGAGGTAGCTCTGGGATCCTGTTCAGCAGGGGGTCCTCTCTGTTGTCCATCAAACCTGTTGATGAGTCTGTTGACCGGAGTCAGTCTCTGATTGGTTTGTTGAGGAGGGTCAGGGTAGGACTGACCACCCCTCACTGCCCCGTTGTGCCCTGCTATGTTCGAACCGTCCCACATATTATTCTCCCCCTCTCTACCTCCCACACGGCGACCCTGCTCTCTCTCCCCCCTCACTCCAATTCCTCCATCCAGATTCCCATAACTGCCAGACTTCCCGTCCCCTGGTGGTCTAGGCAGGGGATAATCCTCATTTCCCTCTCCGTCCCTGTCCAGCAGAGACCCGTGGGACTGGGCTCGGCGTAGTGCCCCTCCCTGCACTCCTCCTTCCCCCCCTACATCACCTACCTGTGTCCCTGGCTCTGCGTCATCCCTCCTCCGGGGAAGGCTACTGTAGCCAGAGTGGTACTGGGTCCTGAGCTGGACCCCGTACGAGTCTCCCTTCTGTCCGTCCTTCAGGACCACGTACGGCTGGCCGGCGATACCCTGCACTCTGACCGCCACGCCATATTTGGAGGTGGTGTTCTTGGCCTTGGGCTGGGGCGCTGGCTGACCCCCCCCACCGTCATAGAGGTCATTGATGAAGCGGATCTGGACACCGTGGTCCACCGGGGTCTTCCGACCTGAAGATGGTGCGCTCATGCTGGAACACGGAGAGGTAAGGAGAAGGAAACAAGCATGTGATTAGAGCACACAGAAGTTTTTCCTGCCTCCAACCAACAGACTTTACAATTGCTTCGGTCTTGTATTTTATATAGTACTTTTATTAGAATTCTTTATTAATGCATTCATTTAGCCGGTGTTTGTCTGAAGTGACTTACATTTTTCCTACGCAAACACACAATTGTTGGTTCAGTTTTGTGAACAAGAACATTTCGAAATGAAAGAAATTCATTGTTATAATAAAGTAAGTAATTCCTGCAAGGGCCATATTTACCTCTAAACAACAAAAGGGATTTTGCTGTGTTTTCAGGATTTAGCAGAGGTATGTTTGTACTGTTGGTGTTCTGTAAACTTGTGGTACACAGACACAGTTTATCACCCTGCCAAAACAAGCTTATTGCAGAAATATTGGTATGAGTGTTGGCTTATATGGGAACAAAAGATTACAGGAAAAAATGTATGAGAAATGTCTAAAATAGCGCAACCATTACACAGTTTGTCCATCAGACAGCACAGACAAGTTCGTTTTTTTCAATTAATAATGTAACTTGGTCACATTTCTTTAAAAAACAATTAGGTTCTGCACCAACAGTCTTAGTTTATGTTATGTGTTACTGCCGGACAATAGATTTGTTATAGTTTCAGCCTAATAAATCCAGTATCGGTCGAGCTATACTCACAATAGCAGGTTCAAAGAAGCAGGGTGGAAGGACAGCTAAAGTATGACCAAAAGCCAGGTAAAGATAAAACTACTCTTTCCTTAAATCAAACAAAGAACACCTCAACACTCAGCAGCACGCAGCCCTGACGTCAACCCAGGGACACAGATTACACTCCGGTTGGTTTCTGGCTCTTTGCTGCTTGTGTGGACTTTGTCCCCGGTGCACTCCATTAGTCATTAACCTGAGAGTACACACCCACATATCACTTTCCTCTTGTATTGACCAACAAAGGCTCTCCAACTAAACCTTTTTCAAAACGATGACAGCTTAACTCCACAGAGGTACTGCAGAAACTAGTGAGGAGCTTTTTCATTTTTCCCTCACTCCCTAATACTCCCCTTTTAGTGCTGAGCTTCCATGGTGAGGCACTACGAAACTATTTAAACAGGTCACACCTTTGTGACGGTTTGGTCGCAACAATTAACAGTCAGCCTTATACGTCACTGGCTATAACAATAGTACTAAACTGAACTTTCCTGATATCACCCTGGCAGTATGCCTTGTGTTTCGTCACATTGCTCATCCCCATGTCTTATTACACTGGTACGGCTCATTACATTCACAAGAGACCTATTACCACACTCCCTCTCAGACCTCTGCACCATGTATTTCCTCTCCACAGCTTTCCAAGGTGAGACAGAAAGTGGGCTGGGAGAGTGAAAGGGAGTGTGAGGTGAGAGAGATACAGAGGAAACACTCAGCTTGTCTTCCCTTATCACTGCCTGGTGTGATAAAATCCAAAGTCAAGATTTCTTTGTGCACAACCCTCCCAGACACCCACACAAACAACTGAATACCAAAGTACCATCAACAAGATAACTCTAACACATGAACCCATACATTATTGAACGCCCTCTAACACATTTGGATATATCTGTACAGATTTTGGAAGCTGTATGAAGCCGTCTGGAACCATGTAAAGCCAAGAAAAACATACAGTCAGCAAATATGAGACTGGAAATATGATCTTATTTCCCCCTGCTGTGATAGCGAAAGTTAACACATAAAACAGCTTGATGGAAAATATCTTAGCTGGCAGTAGGACTGCACGATTAATGGATTTGTTGGTACAATATCCAGATAGCAGTAAGCGAAATATTAGTAAATAAAAAATATCTGAAAGTATTGAGGTGCTGCAGAGAAGTCCCTGCCTACAAAAGATATTCCTCGGCCGATGAAATCCTTGTTAAGTAAAAAAAACACCATAATCAGTCAAATATATTTTTCATGGTATATCTGATTCATGTTTGAAAAATGATTATTCTCACTAATATTGCAAATCATATCGCAATTTCAAGTCAAAATAATCCCAATGAGTTATTTGTGTCCAACTCTTGCATTGCTAGCTGGCAGTGAGCAAAGCAATAGGACGACCTTTCCTGATATCTGTGCTCTTGTTGTGCGTAAACAGCGTCCGCAGACAAACCTGCACGGTCAGTCCATTTTTTCCCCACCCTCTGGGAACCTCAGAGGAAGCACCATGTCACAACACATTTGTGCAGTGGAACATGAAGTCTGCAGCAGACTGTCTTCAATGCAACGTGAAGCATGTCATGCAGTTAGAACCATGCTATCTGAGGGCAATCGCCACTGTTGTTGTGTGAATGTATTCCAACAGACATACAGAGAAGCTAAATGTGATTTATTAACACGCCCTACTCTCTTATTATCTGTTATTACCACATTATTTATCAGTTTCATTCTGTATGTCAGTGAAGAAGAACGCAGTCCCAGCTCCAAACGGGACAGGGGTGAGGGGGGAACGCATCCTATTGTCCAGCTGATGTAGGGCAGAAAATGAGGGCAGCAATTATGAGAATGTCAAAACAGTCCCCATGGATTTTCAACCCCTCCCACAAGGTCTATCTGATCACAACCTCTTTGTTTTAACACTGACATTTCTGACACCCTATTAAGTTTTGCCTCAGAGCTAATATATTTACACATCCTTAAATAAATACATTTAAAGTGGGATTTTTTTGTGTCTTTAAAATCAATTTTATACAGTTTACACATTTTGTAAAGTAACCCTGTGCTGTCAAATTACCCCATCAGTCAAACATAATGGTATGTCTTTAATTCCTTTATTTAAAGGTATTCTAATTTCTTTTGTAATCTTATGTGATTTTGGACTGTTAGTTGTGATGTGAAGAGATCACCTAGGATTTATGGTAATGATGGTTTTTTATTGTTTGGAATTTGTATAGAACAAACAAATACTCTAGTAAGGATGACAACAATTATTTTAGGTTGACATAATAGTTAGTTGCGCCTCCATTATTGTTTAAGCAGACTGCAGGCTCTCAAGCGAAGGTCTCTAACCCACACTACTATGATTAGTAGAACGTAACTTCAACAACAAGCTTCGTCAGGCCTGCTCGCCCAGCTGAGAGCGGGTCTGGTGCTTTTGGACTCTGTTGTTATTCATGTTACCCTGCAGTTATGCTGACGGGACTTCTGCCTCTAATCTAATTCCTGCACCGTTAATGGAATTGAAGCTGCTTCCCTGTGAAGATGCAAGATAGTTTAGGAAATATAATGTGGAGGTTAGAGCGAGTGTGGAGACACATTTAACAACAGCAATGTGTGGAGTCATGAAAGGGCCTCTGCTGACTCACAGAGCATGCTTCATGTGATCGAATCATCTCTGGCCTGGCCCAAAACTAATACAGCTATAGAGAGGTTACTTCATTTTTGATCACTACATGTGTTTGAATTCATGTGTTCAAGTACAGAATACAAAGTACTATTCATTTAACTTAGTAGAAAACTGACCTTTTTCAATTTCTCGCTTGAGAACGTGGAATGGACAAGTCATCAACAATTCAAAACTAAAGTAAAAACAATTATATTTGCAGATTACTCCAGCTAACAAGTATTTGATATTCCCAGTATTACTTATATATGCATTTACTTTTTTTCTTGCCCTAACTTTTTTCTTTTTTTCCAGTTTTCTTTATTTTTTTGTACTCCTTAATTTCTATACGTTTTTGACGAAATAAGTGCCATTATTATATTGATGCTAACGATGATGCACAGGAGGGCTACTCCCCATAAGCTATGCTTCAGCCCTCCCGCTTCTACTAATTTTGTTCATTTGTGTGTATGAATTATACGTTTTTGTTTTTGTATGATTTTAGAAGAATACATTAAAAAAAAAAAAAAAGATGCTGGTTCCATTATGTTTTAATGTGTGTCTCTTTTTGTGTTTTCTGTCTGTAACTATGGGGTTTTGTTTATGCTGCTACCTGTCTTAGTCTTTCTCACATGGAAAAGAGATCTTCAGGGCTTGCCTAGTTAGATTCAAATGAAAAAGCCAACATCGACAGGAGTATCACTTTTGGTTTCCCCTTTTCTTCCAATTGAATCATTACACGTTTACAGGAATCACCTAGAAAAAAGAAGCATAAAGGTGTTATTGACTGCAATGGAGAAAACAGTAGCTAATGCCTTCGGTGTTCTTTAAGGACAGGCAGCCTCTCAGTCCTACGGGTACTCTCCCTCTCCATTACATTCTTGACATAAAACCAGGCCCTCTTCCTCTCTCAAGCAGTCTGTCGCTTTCCAAACTTGCCACTGCTTCTCCTTCACGCTCAAACAAACAGCCAATTATTCCTCTTTTCAAATCCAAAGAAGTTCATTGGCATAACAAAGGGATACTTCAGCGTTACCAAATAGAACACACATGACACCATATTAGGAGCACATAAATACGCCCCTCCCTTACCCCACATTCCAGACACTTGTTTCTCTGTGTCTTTTTAACTTACAGGCCGAGGGTGTGTGTGTGTGTGTGTGTGTGTGTGTGTGTGTGTGTGTGTGTGTGTGTGTGTGTGTGTGTGTGTGTGTGTGTGTGTGTGTGTGTGTGTGTGTGTGAGACTGACTTATGGGAACTACAGTATTAGTACCTACGATTTGCACCTGTGACATTGGAATAATGTTAATACTTCTGTCAAGATGTGAGACTTGCTGCCAGGTTAAACTTTTGTCCACATTTATTCTGTTTTAGAATGAAACTGTCAGCAGGTCAATGTCTTAGAAAGTGCTATAATTATTCAATTTCATGACACACTCATAAGCCCTTCCACCGAATTCAAAACTATAATCTGCATTTCTTTCTTGCTTGCATCATCAGTTTCATCTGAGTCAAGTTTAATATTGAAGGGCATCTCTGTATTATACACCTGCTCTTTAAAAATGGCCTTGAGAGGTTGCAATTCATGGGAGACTATTTTATTATTTAGCTGCATGGCTTTAAGGCCTAACGGGATTTTAAATGTGCTTACATGTAGCCTCTGGTGTCCTAAACACTATTTTAAAGTTGTTTGTTTCTCAGTGCAGTTGTTCCAGTGACAACTCCCCTGGTAGCAGGTAATGTTAGGCTTTATCCGTCTTAGAGTGGAGCTCTGTTAAGTGCCTTCATAGCTCCATAGCATTGATCTGTTTGCATCACACACACATGTATGTATTACTACAATAACCAGCATTTATTCCACTGAACATTGTTTACATTCTGCTTTTGTTTTTCTTATTCTATTTACATGCATATCAGACTTTTGCATCCCTTGCAATATTTTCTCAACATTTAGCTTATTTTAATTGACATGTATATAGTTTCCTTCTTCCGCATTACTTGCACATTGGTCTTAATCATAATCTTGTACTATTTTATTTCTACTCTACTCTGTTTTCTTTTGCACTTTTTTTCATTGTTTCATTTAAATGTTTTCATATATATATATGTATGTTGTTTTGTTTGAGGAGCCTGGGACTTAAGATGTCCATTGTCATAACTACAATGTAGCTACTGTGCATATGACAATACAGCCTTTGAATCTTGAGCAGCTTTATAATATGATTTATTTGGCATCAAACTATTTTTTTAAACACTGCAGGAAGATGTGGTCACTCTGTCCCCACTTATACAATTACAACAAACACGCTCGAACATCTCTGTTATGTATTGTATGTAATATTAACAGGCACGTTATCCTGAAGTTACATTAGATAAAGCACCGTTTTTCTGCCCTCGAGAACCATCAAACTAACGTTAACGTTAGCTACTAAGCTAACTTTAAACTCGCCAACAATGATAGCAATGATTCAGTGATGTCAAAAGACAACGTCACCAAACTAGCTTAAACTAAGACATAAGCGCCACAAGAAAATACAAACATCCCACAAAGAGCATTACTGTCTGACAGGTCGTGTGTGTGTGGTTTAGCAGTCTGGCTTTGTGAAGTCCAAAAACAAGCGTAAAGTTACCTCTTTATATGAAGTTCTTTCCTCTTCTCCTCTTTGAAACTTGGCTTCCCTTATGTCGATGATGATTCAAGTGTTTTCTATCAAAGTCCACATAGAAAAGAGGGTGGGAAAACAACTCCTACGCAAATTAACACAGCAACAAATTCATTATGCGGCGACTGCAACCTGTTACCTTTGTCGGGGATGTAACCGTCCCGCCCAGCCTCTCCGGAGGGAGCGCAGTGATTGGACCAGAGAGCTAAGGTGGGCCGGACTATAGATAAGGAAAACGTTTGCTATTGGTGAAAGCTCTACGTCATTCATTCATTGTGCTGGACCACTTGATGACCTTTTGGCTGTATAACGGAAGCCCCTATTATTACTTTAGATGAAATAAACACATCATCTACCGGTATAACAATCACTTTTCAGGAATAGGGATTGGACGCAGATTAATAAAGATGGGTGCCTCAATCCGTTTGTTTCCCTCCAATTTGCCAGTAGATGGCGCAACTACCTACCAGCTGGTGGTTCAGCATCCAGGACCCCTTACTGAAAGCTCTATACAGCCTACTACAAAAATA